CCCATTAATACTGTGACCTCAGAAAAAGTCTAAGTCAGGGGACAATCAAGCCTGGGGAAGACAGCATGGGAGTGGTGGCATGGGCATTCAAGCCCCTGATCCTCGCCTGGTGCTGGCCACAGATGGCCAGCAGCACCGCCAACCACAGGCCTGTGTCGGAGGAGGGAACCGCCTATTAAAGTAGGCCTTGGACAAACAGCTCATAGGCACACTTCCCTACGAGATTAGAGTTGGGCGTCTGCTACAATGGTTTCGGTGACAAGCCTCCCAGCATCTGTATCTGTAGGTTGGCTAACTTGGCTCTGCTTCCAGGGTTGGACCCACACGAGCTAGGCCAGGCTGGCTCCAGGCTGTCGATTGGCTCCAGACCTGCCCCCGCGAGCCCTTGATTGGGGATCCAGGCCATAGGCACCCTGGTCATCGGGACAAGCTCTACTCATGGCAGGAGTATGAGTGGGCAAGCCAGACCAAGTGAATCTGATGCCACCGTTCATGACCCACCCACTCACACTCCAGGGGCCCATGCCTGGTCGTGCTGCTCCTCGGGCAGGCAGGGAGGTTTCTGCCTGCCCCAGTGGGAGGCCCCCCAGAGTCACAGAACAGTGCCTACAGCTGCTGCGGGGAATAAGTGAAGCTTGGGAGATAACCTGCGGGCAGTATAACAATGGCCACGTGACTGGACCTGCCTTGGTTGTCCTGCTATGCCCGTAGCCACCGGCCGGCCCCCTTGCACTGGCAACATCCAGCGGGGCCGGTGTCTTAGCCACTTGCACTTATCTTCTCAGCAAAGAATGGGGGTCCTTATGATACTTTGCTCCGAGGGTGATGTTGGGTGTTTGGGACTGAACACATGCAAAAGATTAAAATGACTCTTGCGAATCATGAGCGCTAACTAAATTATAATCTGCCACTATCATGATGATGATGACGATGCAGTCAGGCATCCAGTGTTAACCCCTACTTTCCCACCCACAGTCCTACCAGTGGCAAACTGGTAGCCACTGCCTCCATCTGCCTGCAGATATGGTTGGCTGAACCATTTTTTAAACCTTAAGCTATTTCATAGAAAAACCTAGCTTCCTTTACATAATTAGAGCTGTCAACATTTGGCCTGGGTCCTGAGTGATGACCGTGGGTTGGCGACATCCTTTTGTGGAGGGAAAGAGGAGTCGGAGGTGACCCAGAGGAATGGGAGAGGCGCGGTTGAGGGTGGTGGTGGTGTCTGAGTTAGGAAATGCTGGCAGGGAGGCAGAGGCGATGGGCTCATTTGGATCCCTGAAATTCAAGGAGCCTAAGAGGCATCTAGCAATAGACCCTCCCAGAACTCGTGCTTGTAGATCTGACTTTCGCGAGAAATCGGGGCAGGAAGGACCTTGTGTAACCGGAAAGATCATTGGGGAGTAGAGCCCATCTTTCAGAGACAATGCAGGGGCGGACGGGACAAAAGAGTTCAGGCGGTACCATGAAGAAGCTCAGCCTTGCAGGACTGGCTGGAAGACTGAACGGCTGAGATGAAACAGCCAAGGAGGCAGGAGAGAGAAGGTTTCCCCCCCAGCCGCAGAGAGCGATCAAATGAGCCAGTAATTTCAGGAAGACCCCCAACTTCCTGTGAATTGGATTTAGCAGCAGAGAGGCCACTGACAACTTTGTGGGGGGAGAATAGTGGAAACATTAAAACCCCAAACCTTACCAGCATCAAGTCGATTCTGACTCACAGTGACCCTGTAGGACCGAGAGAACTGCCCCTGTGAGTTTCAAGGCTGTAAGTCTTACAGGAGCAAAAAGCTTCGTCTTTCGCCCTCAGAGCAGCTGGTAGTTTCAAACTGCTGACCTTGTGGTTAGCAGTTCAATGAGTAATCCACTAAGCCTCCTTTCACTTAACTCACTGGACAGGATCGTAGGAGATGATGGGGAAAGAAAGTCACTGTAGCAACTTTTTCTAGAAGGTAGGCAGGGAAGAAAGCTGACTGAGGGCTAGGAGTGGGGCTGGGATTGGAGTGCTCACAAAACTGAAGAAGCTTCAGAATATTTCAATAGTTATGAAAAATGTCCAATAGAGAAAAGAAGTTAAGGACCCCAGAAAGAGGTGACAGTGACCCTCACAGTTTGGGGGGCCAGGAGGGCAGGGTTACCAAGAAGCTAGGAGGGAGCCAAGCTAACACATCTTAGAAAAGAGGAAGTACACTTGCTTCGTGGTAACCCTAGAAGGAGGTCACCCAGCTTGCCAAGATGGATGGAGAAGGGCATTTCTATAACCCAGGCAAGAGGGGTGGATGGCTGGACCCAAGGTGGTAGCAGAAAAGGTGGGGAAAGGTTAACTGGACTCAAACCTATGTTGCTGGTAAGGCCAACAGGGTTTGCTAAGTGTATTGAGGAAAGCACCAAAAAAGAGAGGTACGGATGGTGACTAGGGTTTTTGACCTGAGTTAGAAGAAGTCTGGACGTATGAAGCTTGATGTGTCTATAACATGCAGTGCGTCTGGATTCGGGACCGGGTCCAGGTAAATGTGGGTGTTTAACAGCCTTGAGACTGGATGAGAATATCCAAGCCGTGAGTGTGGACAGAGGACAAAAGCAGTTCAAAGACTGAGCCTTGGGGGCCCTCCAGCCCTCAGGGTCCGCGAGAACAAGTAGAACCCACAGAGGTGGCAGAAAAGGAGGGGGAAGCCAAGAGGCCTGCTGCTCTAGAAGTGGAGAGCAGAGCTGTTTCTCGAGGGAGGGAGTGACCAGCTGGATCCAGTGCTACTAGTGTGTCAAGGATCCCAAAACGGAGAATGTGCCCCATCATTGCTATTTTGACAGCAGCAGCAGTAGCGAGGTTCCGGGCTGGGCCCCAGGAAGACTTCCCTGCAGAAACTGGGCCGTGCGTGTGCACGTGCCCTGCACGCAGAGGTGTGCCCTCGATGCTGGGTGTCTGCTGGGCTGAGCAATGGCACAGGACTAGAAGGGCAGGCCTGGAGTGCCTGCATTGACCTCAGTTCACCCGCAGCATCGTGCTCGTCCCCTGCGGGCACGGGTCCGCTCTGGGGCTGTTTGTTCCCACCATCTCTCTAGATCTGTTCTCTCTACAGATCAACCCACCTCCCCCAAGAAATCAAGGAGTGTCCCAGAGCCAGAGCCCAGTGGCGTGGAAGGCGGCGCGCTCTCTCCCCCAGCCTCCGAGTGGACCTCAGTGAGGATCAGCCCTGGGGAAGATGCGGTCGGCCAGGACGTGATGGCCGTGTGTGTGTTGGTCACCAGTGATGATAGCAGGTACCTTCCATTGACTGGGGCACAGACGGGGACCACCGGGGGTTGGAGGTGGGGGTGATGAACAGGTTGCAGGGGTGGGGTAGGATTCAGGATCTGGCCTTCTCTCCGCTCCCTGACGGTGTGACCCCTCTGTGCCTCCATTTCCTCATCTATAAAATGGGACAATGGTAGGCTCTGTCTCACAGGGTACCAGAATCCAAGAATCAATGTCTATAACATGTACAGAACAATGCTTGGCACATCGTAAGCGTTAGACCCACTCCTCGCTTGTCAACGTGCGATCAGGCCATTGTGCCAAAGTCGGTGCTGTGTGAAAATGGGGGATGATCGCGTCCCTGCATGATGCAGAGCCGCGCGAGTCATGCCCAGGCAAGCTAACACATAATCATCGCCATCACTGCTCACCTTACCCTCGCCTGCGCCCCAGCATGAGTTACCGCAGGGAGGCCAGGGAGAAGGGCATTGGACAGTGAGGCTCATTATAATTATTGTGATAGATGCAGAATGCCAGCTAACACGAGAGTTGATAAGTGGGGCATCGGTGTATAAATGTCAGCAGTGGCTATTCTCTCAGAGAAAGGGGAAGGCTCTGGCCCCACTACAGATCCCTGAGGGCAGTTATCAGCCAGGGTGCATGGGCGGGGGTGGTGCTCACCACGGAGGGACTCTGTAGGGCCCTTCCACAGGAACACAGTGGGGAGGAGCATAGGAAAAGGGTCTTCGATCCAGAAACCTCAGAGCACTGCCCTCCCATCTGCTCAGAAACCCGAGAGTAGTCATTGGAAATGCAGAGTCCTGGCCTCCCCAGATATGCTGACTTCATTCCGGAAGTCACTCAGCACACGCGTATCTATTGCTTCGTATTTGTCAGGATCTGACGATAAAAGCAGTGGCCAGGACTAGATTGCGCCCTTCTCAGCTAACTTTCATGCAAATGGGGCAGATAGCTAGTTGCCAGGGAGCTCACGCTGACTCACAGCAGCCTGATGTAACAGAACCAAACATTGTCTAGCCCTGTGCTTTCTCAGGAGGGCATACCCTCCCCCTCACTGGCTTCTCCTTCACCGGACACGAGGTCCTCCTCCAATGTCGGTCCCTCCGCTTAACATGCCCCAGACACGTGAGGCAGACAATGTTCTGCTGTGATCTTCATGTTTTCATGGGCTAATTTTTAGACGTCTATTTTGCTAGACCTATCTTCCTAGCCTTTTTATCCCCCCACCTGGATGCCCCACGGAAACCTGTCCCTCGTGGGTGGCCCTGCTGCATTTGAAATACAGCGGCACGGTTTGCAGCGTTGCAGCACCACACAAGCTACTGCCGTACAGCCAACTGGCAGATAGGTCCAGTGGAGTAGCCGCCCACTGAACAAGTAAAGAGTTAAAAGAGCCAAAGCTCACCGATGAGTGTGTGCCAGGTGGATAAATAAATAAAAATGACTCGCTGGAGTCTTGAGATGTTGCGGCCAGGAACGGCCTCTGGATTGTATAGAATTACCAGAATGCTGAGTAATAAGCCGGGTCAGGACTCAGGGACTAAATACAGCTGGTATTTGTTACGCTCCTGATTCTGTACGTCAGCCATTGGAACAAGGCGCAGCTGGCCGGGTCTTCTGTTGTCGGCTGGCTTCCTCGTGTGTTTGGGGGAGGGAATGGCTAACAAGGGACTCTTGGTGTCCTTCGTCTCCTATAGGGCAGCTCAGGTTGATTTGCATGTTTCTAAGGGAAGGAGTAGAACTTAGAACCACTTGAGGCCTAGGCTTGGAAGAGGCCCAAAGGTACTTCCATTGCAAGAAATTGGCCAAAGCAACTCAGAAAGCCAGCTGAGATTCCAGGCATGCGTCACAGAGACTTAAAACCTAGTGCTCTATCCCAGGGTGTGCTAGACGCAGTGACTGACAAATGGGTGTGTGTGTGTGTGTGTGTGTGTGTACACATACGTGCATGAGAGCATGCGTGGGGCATTCCGGGCTCCACATGTTTCCTCTCTCCTTTCTCTTTCCAGCTCTGAAACAGAGTCTGACTGTAGCAACAAGCCCCCCCACGCAGAGCCCTTTGAGGAGAGACCCCAGCAGCTGGAACCCCAAGCCCTCACCCGGCACACCTCCCTGAGGGAAGCCCTGGATAGAGTTCTCTCTCCACAGCACCCTGAGGAGTCCAAAGCTATGCATGGTGAGCGGAGGGCCTGGCAACATGGATTCAGACTCGGTTCTGGGTTGGGGAGGGGAGGGGAACAGCGATGCGCCCAAGGCCTGTTTTCTTTTGTTGTTGTTTCTCAGCTTAATTGGCATATATTTCACATATCATACAATTCAGTCGTTCAGTCATATTAATAAGGGCGCACAATCATCTCCACAATCAATTGAGAACATCTGCTTCTTTCTTGAACTCATTGTCATCTGCTCCCCACCTCCCTGCAAACTTTCCTGCCATCGCCCCCAAGAAGCTATCCCTGGAGTCACTGTCCTTATGCTCTAGCCATGGGGAACCACGCCCTCATGCTTGGATGTGCGGGCTGGAACCCTGGAGTTATGAGGCCATATATAGAGACTGAGCCCAGGCCTGGCATCCTTCCCTCTGAGAATCTTGGGGTCCCCAAGTGGGAAGACTACAGAGGTGTCTGTTGTCCGTCCCAAGCGGTCAGAGAGAAATGCCCCCCAGGACCCTATGCCTGGAGTCGTCTCCATCCTGTCTCCCTTTAGCACACCTCCTGAGGGTCGAACAGTCTACAACACCACGAGAAGGGAGGGGCCCACAGCAGCAGAGAACCAGGAGAGATCTTCCCGGGTCACTGGGCATGTGCCTGAGGTGACTCAGGGGCCTGAGCCAGGTGCTTGGGACTGGGGGATGCACTGCAGTCATACCTGGTTGCTAGTCTCCAACTCAGAGCAACTCCGTGGTGCAGAGCCATCTGCCCGCACGGGTTTTCAAAGCTGTGGCCTTTCCAAAGCAGGATGCCTCTAGGGGAGTTCAAAGAGCCAACCTTCCGCTAATCATTGAACACTTAACTCTGTATGCCACCCAGGGCCTTGTAAAATCTGCCTTTGTAAGAACGGGTGCCCTTTTATGGAAAACCAGTGATGGGCCTTATCGCATCTTGCGGTCACGTGGTTTTGCGTTGATTCTGGCGGACAGCGATCCTACGGAGAAGAGAGCCGTCCCGAGTTCCCCAGACGTCATCTTTACTGTAATCATGTTCTCTACAAACCACAAGCCCTAACCCCTCTGTTAGCAGCGGCGCGCTTAACCCTTGTGCCACCAGGGTTGTTGTAGCTGCTTTGTCACACCCAGGGTCCCATGAGTCCTCAGGCCACCTGTGAGGCAGGTAGTCTTCATGCCCTGTCCACTGAGCAAATAGCCCGGTGCTGCTTTGAGGTCTCCTGCTAGGACGGAGAGTGAGCCATGCCGACCACACCTCCCTCTCACCTGGGGCTATAGAAAAGTAGCTGTCATGCGCAGCCCAGCGTGTTTTGACAATCAAGGCCTGGAGTTGAGTGTTTTAGTGGGATGGGGGGTTTTGTTTGTTTGCTTTTTGAATGATCAGCAACTTGGGAGGGAAGAAGCAGCCTGACAGACGTGTCCCCACCAGGACATTATCCGTTCCCTGAGCGGCCCCGTTGAGCGCTGGCGCGCACCTTGTCCTGCACTGCCCTCTGGTGTCCAGGGCCAGGGTTTCCGCTGGTTCTCGACCGAATGCGAAGTGAAGACAGGGCCTAGATCGCGCCTGTTGTTAGTTGCTATCTCTACGGCACCCACTCATGTCGCCCAGAGTCTAATGTAACAGGAAAAACGTCGCCTGGCCCTCTGCCATCGCCCTGCTGCTGGAGGGCATCACTATGGCCAGTGGGGGCAACCCAGCTCATTGAGGACCCCTGGCTCTCACTGACCCTCTGCTGTGCCAGCGCATCGCCCTCTTCTAGCCATGGGCCGTTCCCCATCATGTGTGCAGAGCTGAGTGGGTCCAAGTCTCCTCGTCATTGCCCTCAAGAAGCAACTCCATTTGCCCTCCTGTGTCAACCTCAAAGACAAGGCAGGAGAGCTTGTTATCTAGACATGTATGCTAAGTGTCATTTGGGGGTCTGCCCAGGAAGATAGTGTGTGGCAGTGAACCAAAGGCTGGATGTAGCCCAGCTGGCCCAGCCCTGCCTGGTGTCCTGCTCGACCTTGATATTTCCCTCACCTCCCTGAGCTCCGCCCGCCTCCTTCACAAAGTCGGACCCCCTCTCTCCACCTACCCGGACTCTCTCCCCCTCTCTCTCTCTCAATCTCCAATTGCTGGGGGGATTTTAGCTGCTTCAAGGGTTAGACACAAAACAGCATGGTTATATACACAGGACAAACACAGCCTCGGAATCAGGGCTGACCAAAGCAGCTTAGGGGTACAGCCTTGCGGTCTAAGCCACAGCCCCGAGATGTTGCTTTAGTTGAATAGAAAACGTGGTTAATATTTCTCAAATCTGTGTTCTTTGGCTGCCAGAGCTCAAAGAAGGAACGACGTGAGGGAGAATGGAAGCGAACAAGGAAGAGGAGGAGGGAGACAGAGAGGCAGGGAGGGCAGAAAGACAACTATCACTCTCCCTGTTCAGGAGGAAATACACCTAAATTATACACCATATAACAACATTATTTATATTTCTCAGAGCAGGCAGGACTTTTCCTAAAGCTTGTCTCTATAGAGCGTGCTCCCCCACTTCCGTCAGATACCATCAAGGGACTCACTAGTTCTCGCCCCGTACAATGGCTCACAGAATGCACTGATGCCCCCCCTGGGGCTGCTTTGTGCAGCATCCTTCACTGGCAGGGAGGCATGGAAACCGGCTAGGATCCACTGAGAGCTTTCCTCCCAGGAGCATGGGGTCGCCGGAGAGAGAGAGAGAGGGCAGGTGGCCAGAATATTTCTCACAGTGGGCTCAGTTGCAGCGAATCCTCTATCAAGTTAGCCTTCTTTGAGCGTGTTTTGACTGGTAGACAGACCTGTCCAGGTTCACTCCCCCAGCCCCAGGTCTAGTTCTGTGCTGCATGTTGCTAGTCATGGGTGAGCTTATCACTTTACCAAAGATGGAGCCATGACGTCACCGTGTGGATCCTATGAAGCTTCGTTTGCCATGAGTCTCTCCTACATCAGGGGCTCCGGGGAGAGCTGAGGGAAAGCTACTTGGGATGAGACCAAGCGATCGCTCTATAATGAGACCGGGATGGTGAGTTAAGAAAGACTTGTGTGGTTCCTGCTGTCTGCACAGAAAGGGATTCTCTTTGAATCACCAGAGTTTGTTATCATGGAGCATGCCACCCAAGATCATGCGCGAAAATAAAACTTCAACCCGGTGTGACTGAGGGCTTAGAAAGCATGCTTCGTAATGCGCCCCTTCCACCTCAACTTCCAACATTAACGCTCAACCTCCGTGCCATCGAGCCGATGCCGACTCCTAGTGACTCTACAGGGCAGGGCAGGACCGCCCGGTGAGTTTCTGAGACTGTAGCTCGTTACAGGAGTAGAAAGTCCCATCTTTCTCCCATAAACCTCAACAGCAAGGGTTCTTTAAACCCTCACTCCCTGGGCAGATTCCTGGGGTCCTACTTTTAGAGGTTCCGTTACAGAAGGTCCAGGGTGGACCAGCTGCACCTGCAGTTCAAGTAAACACCCCGGTGGTCCGTGTGTGACGCCTTGGGGGTCTCAGAAGAACAACTGGCTGCAGGCCGTGCGTAGATGAATGAACTAGTAATTGGATTGAGCCAGTGCTTGAGATTCTTGAGCACACAAATGTCAGTTGGCATTTGGACAGCGACCTGCCCCCAGGTGATCTTCATGTTAAAGAACCTATATTATGGAGCCTTTCTTTGTTATGTTTTTTGGAGACTTGTTGCATAAAAGAATGATCCAAGAGCCTACGGGGCCATTCGTAGTTGACAATGAAATGATACCATTAGCATCATGTGGCAAGATACTTACCTTTTGACGTGGGTCTTGCTTGCACTCTGCTAGCCAAAGGTGCCCCAAGAGCATCACATTAAAATACATCATTTTATTGGGGCTCTTACAGCTCTTATCACAATCCATACATACATCCACGGTGTCAAGCACATTTGAACATTTGCTGCCATCATCATTTTCTTTCTACTTAAGCCCTTGGTGTCAGCACATTCCCCCCTCCCCCACCTCCCCTTCCTCATGAACTCTTGAGAACTGATCACTTTTTCCCCATGTCTTACACTGACCAATGCCTCCCTTCACCCACTTTTCTGTTGTGTATCCCCCTGGGAGGGGGTTGTATGTAGATCATTGTGATCGGTACCCCCTCCCCCAACCTTCCCCCTACCTGCCTGGTATCGCTACTCTCATCATTGGTACCAGTGTACAGAGCATCACATGTTAATTGAAGCTGGAAAGAAGGGAGTTACTCATTGGCCTACTCATGATTACTGAATCGAACCAGTCCCCCCGCCTCATGGTCCCTGCTGTAGTAGAGATGTGTGCCCTGTGAGCATAGGTGACGGGAGCAGCTCATGACGTTTAGCCCTTTCTGGTGGTCCCATGACGGCTGCATTAGTCAGGACTGTGGAGAAGCAGTAAGAACACAAATCCAGCTAGACCAGAGCCTGTACATGGGTACAGATCAGAGCTGGAAACACAGGGAATCCAGGACAGATAAACCCCTCAGGACCAATAATGAGAGTAGTGATGCTAGGAGACTGGCAACAGAAAAGTAGGTAAAGGGAGACATCGGTTAGTGTAAGACCTGAAAAAATAATAATTTATAAATTCTCAAGGGTTCATGAGGGAGGGAAGGAGGAAAAAAATGAGGAACTGATACCAAGGGCTCAAGTAGAAAGCAAATGTTTTGAGAACGATGATGGCAACAAATGTACAAATGTGCTGGACACAAGGATGGATGTAGGGATTGTGATAAGAGTTGTACAAGCGAGCCCTGATAAAATGATTTTTAAAAAAAGAGAGAGAAAGCCCATGAAGCGAGCTGACCTTTTCCTGGAGCCGTTTCTCTGTGTGACGGTTGAGAGAGTGGCTTTGCAGAAGTAGGCAGCTGGCCTGGACACCCTGTTGCTCCTCGTAGGAAGCATGCAGCCCGGCCAGCCTCAGGGAGGCTGTGGGGGGAAGTGGACGCATGGTGGAGATGCAACGTCAGGCTCATGAGGAGATGGGAGACTGGGTTCTCTGCCCGTGCCCCCAGACTCCCCCTCAGACCCCTGGAGCTGATGAGGAGACGGGCTGGTGGGGTTGGGGACCCTCCAGACAAAGCAGGCACCACGTGTCTACAAGGACAGCCCCTGAGACGCAGGCGTCGAGGGCCGAAGATGCTGAAAGGCAGCTCCAGCTCATAGTGAAACTGTGCTCTTGCAGCTGGGCTGATGAGAACGGAGGCCCCCCCTCTGTGAACTGCAGGCTGGGGTACTCAGGACCACTTCCAGGGAGACAGGGCGGGGCCGGGCGGACCTTGACTTTCGACATTCCCACCAAGGGCACAGTGGTTCAACCCTCAACACTAACCAAACTGCCGGTCACTGGAACCCACCCAGGAGAAAGATGTGGCCGTCCGCTTCTGAACGGACTCACAGCCTTGAAAACCCTACAGGACCGCTCTGCTCTGGCCTGTCGGTCACTCTCTGTCAAAGTCACCTGCATGACAGCAGGTTTTCTATTTTGTACTCAAACCTTGGCGTCCATAGGTGGTGGCAGGTGGTTGGTTCAAGTGCTCCCGGTTCTGACCCACCTGGGGATCCGCTCCGAGGTCGGTGCTCACACCTTGCCCTGCCCCCCCACACCTCCACCCCACTCCCTTCCCCCCAGGCTTCCCTTCCCCCCAGGCCTCCCGCCCCCTACTTCCTGCCAGTCTTCTCTGCTCCGAGGGTTCCCCTCTGTGGCTGTGATGACCTTCAGAGATCGTGGTTGGAATCTGAGGGCCCCAAGTGGAAACTGGGCACCCTTAGGGCCTGCTGCCCCCGTGCCCACCTCAAAGGGCTGAGACTCATTTTCTTCTGAATGTGAGATTCACTTGGCTCCGCTAACCCTTCAGCTGTCCATCTGCAGTTCCCAAACTCTAAAACCAAGCTCCCTGCCCTCGGGTGGATCCCAGCTCGGTGACCCCCCCAGGACAGAGGAGAAGCGCCCCTTTGGATTTCCCAGAAGCAAGCCCAGCTTTCTCCCACCAAGTGGCTGGCGGCTTCCAGCGGCTGACCTTGCTGGTGTGCTGTCACTCCGTGTCTGTTGGAGACCACGACGGGAGTGTTGGTCATGGGTTCTTAGAAGTTCTGTGAAAAGAGGTTTCCAAAGGGCCTGGGGAGTGGGGAGAAGGTGGCTGCAGCTGCTGGGCTTCGGTGGGAGAAACGCTGCTTGTTGAATCCAGGATGTGGAAGGGAGGCTGAGCTCCCAAGGACCGTTCTGCTAGCCACGCACTGCACAGATGCCCGGCTGCTTGTGATTCCCCACCGAGGGGAGGCGGTGCCGGGCAGCTGGGGCATTTTCTGAAAGACGACAGCACCAGGCCATAGCGCAGTCTCCGTCATGTGGGAATGAAGGAATGGAGGCCTGCAATGTGGGGACAGGGAGGTGGGCCACATGCGGAGGCGCTGGCTGCTCACTGCCAAGCTGCAGACAGCTGGGTTTGGTCCCGGGGGCGGCGGAGGAGGAGGATTCCTGTTCCACACTCCGGCGTGCGTTTGTTTGTTCGGAATGCACATGTCTGTCCCTAACGACTCCACGTCTGTTCCCATTTTCATTTTCTGCCACGGTTTTCCTTCTTCCTCAAGCCACTCAACGGCTCTTTAGGTCAGAGGGCTAAGGGAGCTGGAGGGACTGACTTTGATTCTTTTGAAAGACACGTAGTCTCTGGGTCTCCATGGCCCAACAACACTATCCAGGAAGCCCTCCAGGATGTGCTTGTGTCCCCCCCACCCCACCCCATCGTTCCCCGTCGTTAATGGACCCTTACCCTCTCTCCACCCGCCCTGCCTTTGTCTTGGCCACAGCCCTGCGACGAGCCAACAGCTTCCAGAGTCCGACTCCAAGCAAATATTCCAACTGGAGAAGGAAATTCCAGTCGAGTGAGTCACGAGCTGGGGGGGGAGGGCGCGAGTCCGGCGCATTCCCAGGGGAGGCTGGGTGCCATCCATGGTGCCCTGTGACAAGACTCCTTGGGGGTGACAGCAGAGCAGAGAAGCTGCAGGAAGCTGACTGTACTTCCACAGCGCCTGGAGAGCGCATCCTTCAAGATAGCCTCGACGCCCACCCCCATCCCCACCCTCACCCCCTTTCTGGAATCCCAAGGCCTTAGAATGCTGCAGTTCCACCCGCCAGCCCGCTGCTGCTCCAAGCTCTTGGAGGCATGGCGAGGAAACTGCTTCTGCCCACAGGAGCCGGTCCGGGGCCATAGGCTTGACGGCTTCCTGCCTCTGCGAGCAAAGCCATAAAGAGAGAAACCCCGCCCCCCACACTCCCCACCTCCCTTCCTGCGGTGGCCAGGGTCACCGCATCCTGGGGAAGCCAGGTGCCGGCTGGGGAGGACCTAGGCCAGGTGGGTGCTATGGCAGCAGGTGTCCACGAGGGGGCGGCGTGAGCCCACTGCCAGTCGCACTGGGCCCGGGTTCCCTATGTTCCAGACCCTGCTGTGCAGTTGAGAGGCTGAGCAGAGACCCCCTCCAGGGGCCCTGAGAAAGGGCAGGGTGCTGCGTGGGACTCCACGTGCTTCCCCTCCCTCCAGCTGCCCCTGTGCCCACGCTGCCCCTCACGACCCCTCGCTGTATGCCCACTTCCTGGGATTCTGTCAAGAGCCCAGTGCACTTTGGGCACGAGGCTTAGGGTGGACATCATTTTGACGAGCCTAGTGCAGGCCCCGGGTGGCCCAGTGGTTAGCGGGCTCAGAGTGGAGATTCCGGTCCCCTCCGAGGTACCTCCAAGGAGAGGTCTGACAACCTTCTTCCAAAATGTCACCACCGAAAGCACAGCGCTTCCTAGATACACCTGGATCATCGGGAGCCAGAGTCCATTCCGTGCCAACTAGGAACGCCTAGCATGGGCCTGCCTCGCCTCTGAGGAAGTCAGTCCTGCTCCTTGTTGGAGGGAGGAAGAGAAGAAGGAGGGAGGGGGAGGGGGTGCAGAGAAACGGCTGAAGAGAGCCCAGGAACAGGTGAAGCAGTAGGAGGAGAGGTTCAGAAGGGCGCAGGGCTCCAGCAGGTTGCTGACCCTAGAGGGCGCTCCAAACTTGGAGAAGGATTTGAAGGAGGCAGATGACCAAAGTCCCAGGAAACCCTGCCCTGGACTCTTGTTTCCCTGAAAACCCTGAGCTTAGAACAACCAGGGCTCTTGATCGTCTTCCATGTGTTCCGGAGGAAACTCAGAGGGGAAGGCTGCCCTTACAGGAGAGCAGAGCATGGGCCCCACCCCTCTGCCCCCAGGCGTGCACTGTAGGAGAGCCCTAGGCACCCTCCCCAGGTGGCCGTGTGCCCCCCCCCC